ACCACAGTCAGGGTCAAGTTGCACCAGGAAACCTTGCCTTGATCCTTCTTCCTGTGACACTGCACCTGGCTCTGATGACTGTCGTATTTGAAAAACATGGCCTGCCCACAGGCAGACCCGGAAACGTTAACAGTGAGTTCAAAGCTTTCTTTTGAGAACTCTAAAGCCAAAGTGAACATCTCACCCTGTGTTGCACCAGCAGCATGTTGGGAGGATGGATGAAGGGCTGAAGAAAGACTAGAAAATGAGCAGCTCTATCCTTTGTGTGCATGGGGCTAGAGAGGAGATGAAAGGGAGAGGGCAAGAAGAGAACACCAGAATGAAATGAAATTCTGCCAGTTTTATTGAGTTTAGAGGCCACAGTCTGTTTGAGGGAATGCTGTATTATTAGATTACAGTGTTTGGCTAGCATGCAGAGCTCGAAGAGGCAGAGTCACAAAGATACCTTTCGGACAGGACGGGAAAAGTGAGTGACATGTTTTGAAACTACTATGTTGTTTTTTTTATTGCCTTACCTAAGTAAGAAGATGTGATTTAGCTGGTCCTTCCTGCCTGGAAATCTTTGAACTTTTGACATAAAACTGTTGGCTATTATTGGCAGTTTTGGAAACATTGTGGAGTTTTGAGACACTAGTGCTGTCTTTTTTCTAAGAAAAGTTTTTAACAGCATCTTCCACCTTTTATTCTGGTCAAACATATAGCTTCGTAAGGGCAGCACTTCCTCCTTTTATACACAATTTTCATGGGATTATTGCTGATTCTGCTCAACTGAGGTGTATTCTCTCCCAGACTACCACACTCGCAGGCGATTTATGTGTGTGGCTGGCAAAAAGAGACAGGGAGGGGGCAATTCCAGGGTGTGGGGCAGAGGAAGGATAATTGTACTCAGATTCAGGTGGGTGCAGCCTTGGAGTAACAGCTGGGGTGTAAAGTTGAAGTCCAGGCAGCCTTACCATTGCTGTCATGCCCTGTCATATGCTGAGGGCTGCAGAAATGATCTGGTCCTAGCCCAGAAGTGCTGAAATGTATTGGTTTGTTTTGTCCTGCTGTTGCAGCTCGACACTTTGAACACTCAACTATAAGAAGCAGATCTTTTAAAAAAATAAACAAGGCGTTCAGTGTTCTTCGAAGGACAAAAAGTGGAAGCGCGGTTTCCAACCAGGCTGACCGGGAAAGGGAGACTGTTGGAAACTCTGCTGCTGGAGAGGAAGGTAATGCTTTGTTCTCCTTGTGTTATCACTTAAAATGAGATAGGGGACCCTATCCATGTGGGAACTGGATGTTCATGACTGACATGTCTTTCATGTGGTGGGCTAGGCATGATTAAAAAAAACCCCAAAAAGCAGAAAATCCAATCTTTCCTGATTTTCTTCTTTAAAAAGTTGTTAGGGTTAAGGGTTAGGGTAGGCAAGAATATTACTGGGCTGCATGAGAATTCACCTAGGGCAGTTCTGGTGACAGCCTGCATGCTACAGCCAGCCCAGTATCTAGAAGGCAGGATGTGGGATCTGCGCATCTGGGATCTATTACTGGAGCTGCTGTTGATTTGCTCTATCATTTTGTTAAAAGGCTTCAACAGCATATGTCTGTCCCCCTAAAACAAAGGGATCACAGTGATCGTACATTATAGGAAATTCATGAGGTTTTGGCTAATGTTTATGAAGCACTAGATTCCCAGTGGAAAGATGGTATGAAAGTGCAAAGTACTGTAATTATTCCAACACTTCTGTGGGATCCTTGGTGACAGACTTGTATTACCTCTGCCAGGAAGCTGATGAGGTAAGAACACTCTGCTCTGAAACAGGGAGAAGCAAGTTCATCTGACGAATGTAAAAGATGAGGGGTCGGCAGGCAGTAACACTTAATGTTTGGCATTCTCAAAGCAATAAGCAAATATTACTAATTGCTTTGGACTGTAATTACGAAGCCGACATTAGCATTCACTCATCAAGAGGAAGTGACGACAGAGGGTGAATCACTGACTTAATCAAGGTCTTCTCTGAGCTTATTATTCCTTTGCTTGATGCCTCAGCACCTCACTTCTCTTCTCAGATCAAATGTCTAGGGTAAGGGCTTTAAGAGGAAAAAATATCCAGTTTCCTTTTTCTTTGCATTTCAAGCTATCATTGAAACCCACAGAAAATAAGGACAAAAGGCTACCAAATCCTGTGTTTAGGCATCGTTATTCTTGAAGCGGTGAATCAGAGAACACTGTTCAATATTTCCTCTTCTTTATTTGCTTATTCCTTCAGGAGAGTTTCACTGTATTACTGTGTTCTTGCTACTTACTCTCTTCATTCACATACTTGCTGATGTAGCCAAAATAAAACCTCACAATTTGAAATTGTGAACCTTTTCCATAAAAATAATGTGAATCTGCTCCTTGGCCTGGAAACATTATTAATAACTTTCCTGACCCATTTGTTTCCACCTCCAATTAAGATTTTGGAAATAATTTATGTACAGCCCTCTTTGAGCAGATGGATATGTTTATCATTCCCCAGCAACCGTTCAATCCATTGTAAGCAAATGCTTGCCCCTGTTCAGCTGGAGTGAAATTCTGCATGTTCATGCTTTTCAGAAGACATCTCTTCAGGATGGAGCATAGACATCTTTATGACTGCTTTCTGCCTAGGCTTATAGTTGATATACTTATATCAATCAAACATGCTAATTGTTCAGCTAAAAGTGTGGTTTCATGTTCAGAGTATATGAGGATGATCTAGATGCCAACAGTATCTAGCCAGTAACCCAGTGCAGTCCAGATGGTAACAGAAGAAGGTGTGAAGATGACCCTGGCCTTTACATTTCTGGCAGAATGAAAAGCACTGATGCCTCCATTTTAGGAGACATATAATGGAGCCCTAAAGTGACTGCAATTTCAGGGTCCCATTCACAGTGCCAAGATCATCAGTCTGTCCTTGACTCTGTGGTTTCATTCCTCTGCATCAAGCTTTCCTGTAAACTCCCAGATATATTCTACTGCACTGGAAAAACCAGGTAGGCAGGTAATTACTTAATGAGCAGTTACTCTTACACATGAGATCACAGAAGCTGGGTACCTAAATTACTGCATTAATTACATAAGCAAAAATGTCTTTTGATTACACAGTTCAGGAATTTGGTCTTTTAAACAAACGCAAGTAACTTGCAGTAATAGGGATAAAGTGTTAACAAGGATCTCTACTCGGTCCTTTGCAACAGGTGTTTTGTGTAATGGCATCTCAAAGGCTCCCTTTGTGTCTTCTTGTTGGAGGAGCAAATGAATAAGCTTCTTTCTGTAGCAGTTATCATCCTGCCAGCTGGAGGCTTGTTTTCTTCTCCAGTTCTGTATGTTTTCTTCTTTTACTTACTTTAAAAAAATCCTCAGCTGTTTCAGCAGTCTGCAGTTGGACTCCTGGTTAGAGCTACTGGTCAATCTTTAGGGTTAGCTGCAGTATGCTCTGCTCTGTGCTCGCTAAAGGTCTAGCCCAACCCCAATATAAAGGGCAGTTCCACGTCTCTGTCTCCCCATTGTCACCCCAAAAGCTGCTGCTGTGTTGCCCCAAGTTCAGAATCACAGAATTATTGAGACTGGAAAAGACCTCTGAGATCATCAAGTCCTATGACCTAACACTACCACATCAGCTAGACCATGGCACTAAGTGCCACATCCAGTCTTTCCTTAAACACCTCCAGGGATGGTGACTCCACCACCTCTCTGGACAGTCCGTTCCAATGCCTGATCACCCTCTCCATGAAAAGGTGCTTTCTAATATCCAGCCTAAACCTCCTCTGGTGCAGCTTCAGGCTATGCCCTCTCGCCTTGTCACAAGGGAGAAGAGCCCACCCGTACCTGACTACAACCTCCCTTCAGGTAGTTGCAGAGTGATAAGGTCCCAGCTCCCTTAGCCTCTCTTTATATATGGCTTTCCCTCTAGTCTCATCACCAGCCTCATTGCTCTCCTCTGGACCGGCTACAGCACCTCAATATCCTTCTTGAAGTGAGGGCCCCAGAACTGTACACAGCACTCAAGGTGAGTCCTCACCAATTCTGAGTACAAAGGGAGAATAACATCCCTACTCCTGCTGGCCACACTATTCCTGATACAGGCCAGGATGCCATTGGCCTTCCAGGCCACCTGGGCACACTGCTGACTCATGTTCAATCAATTGTCAACCAGGACTCCCAGGTCCCTCTCTGCTGGGCTGCACAACAGCCACTCTTCCCCCAGTCTGTACTACTGCATGGGGTTATTGTGGCCAAAGTGTAGGACCCTGCACTTGGTCTTGTTAAACTTCATATCATTGCACAGGTTCATGTCTGGGACTACCTGAGAGCACACCTCAACCATGCCTCATTGCTCCAGGAGGTCAGACAGCACCTCACCATCTCTCTGGTGGCTCCTTTCCTCACCACGCTTAGTCAGTGTGTAAGCAGAATAAAGCTGAGACTGTACCAGCAGCATGGTGAGTTAAATAACTCCTTCCAGCTGATAACCTCTTGTTGATAAAGGACCTGTCAGATCGTCTGCCAAAGCTCAACATATTACAGTCCATCTGTCCCCAGTTTACAGAATTCTCTCATCTTAGTTCAGATGTCTCTAATTAATCTATGTTTTGCCTGTGATTTGGGCAAAAGAGCTCTGAGAACAAAAAACATAGTTTTTTAAGTACATAGGTACTGGCCCTCAGCATCAGCAACACTGATAACTATTTGCCCACTGCAGAGTGTGTAGGTGCCTTTAATCTGAAGCTGATCTGTCTGTTGGGGCAATGCTTGGTTGCAATGTGACTGTGAGGATGCAAGACAAAATAATCATTCCTGATGTGAGAGAAAAAAATATTCAAATAACCATGATTCTGCTTAACTTGAAGCTGGTTTTGGAAAACTTTTGCTAGCCAGGGACTCTGAAGGATAGGATATACAGTGACAAATGTGTTTCTGTTATAATTACAGCAGAGAAATAGTTGCAGTCTAATGTTATCTTATACCTGGAGCTGGTACCAGTCCTGCACAGTGAAGATTACTCCATGATTTTCATTCACAACCTGTGATCTGATTTGTTTGTGTCATATGCACCCATTTTGGATGAAAATAATTCAGGTTTTCTTTGTTCCTCTGTTTAAACGTTTTGGTAACATCTTCAGCAGAGAACTGTTCATTGTCCAAACCAAAGAAAATGTTAGAAGTGAATGAAAAGTGCACTGAAGAGAAATTTTTTTGGGGGAAAGAGGCATTAAGATTTTATCATTTTTAATAATTTGGTCATCTCTAAATAACTCACATGAGGAAGTGTTTTAGCGCAGCTCCCAAACTTGTGATATCTACCTGGAAGTAATCTCGTTAACAGCACTTACAGCTACAAATAGCTTTTCAGGTCTGAAGTAGAAGTTAGGAAAGTTTAAAAGAGATGGTTTCATTCTGATACATAAGAGAAGGTGACAGGGACATCCTTCTGGCACTGATGCATTTAAGATGTAATATCTTCTGACTAGATCTACTAGTGTAAATGACCTTGACAATCTACTTAAATGACAAAATATCTCTGAGCAAAGACTGCTCCAGCTTTGCTATGCTTATTTGTATCACTGTGCTCTTAGTTTGGCATCAAACTGTCTAAATTCACTTCCATGAAAGACTATATACATATAGTCCTAGTATAGAGGATACATATACTCAAACTGATGTACAAATGCAAGTAATAAACCAGCTAACACTTTAGGAGGAAAGAATGTGGGAATGCAGTTCCAAAACCTTTATACAGTTTTACAGTAAAAGGGAGTCATGCTGCCTGTTTTCAAAAACGTTCATCAGTTTCATGTTGCAGTCAAGCCATTGTAAAATAAATTGAATTTATGATTGCTTGAGGATGTCAAATGTTGTTCAAAGTCAAACTCATTCTTCTTGGTGGGTGAAGTTCTACCATCTGTTATTGCTTTGCAACAGTCATGACCAAGGCTGCCCTGGCAGGCACTGACAGGACCACAGGACAGGCTCTCCTGTTGTGTGGGTGTATCTCATGTCTCCTGTTCAGTTTGATGTATTTTATATATGTATAGATAATTGATGGCTATTATAAATACTTCAATGTTTGGGAAAGGTACATGAAGAAAAAGAAGGTAAGTGAAACACAGATGGCTGTGGGTATCAACCATTTCATGGCATTAAGGCTCTCTATGTGCAGAGAAGGAAGTGGCTTATCCAGCCCCAGCACAAGATGGCACAGCCTAACTTCAGTCTCAGGACAGCTACACCCCACAGGAATCCCAAACTGTTCCTGTTTTCCCCGGATTTGGTTCAGTTGCACTTTCAATTCCCCAAAACAGCTGTTGGAAATCGCATAGAGCTGGTTCAAAGCACTCTGCTTTAGGTTGATGAGCCAGGCAACTTCCAGAAGAAAGAGATTGGCTTTGTAGCATCTCCTCTGCTGCAGACCAGTAAACTTTGCTTGCTGTAGATGAGATAGCCACAATTCTTTTGAGACACATTCAACTCTACAACAGTTTCATTTTAGTTCTTATGAAGATCCTTTGGTGGGATGAATGTCCAGAAGCAAGAAGAGACATTAAAGCTGGCATTGCCTTCTACCTGCCCTCTGCACCAGACTAGCATCCCTGGAGAATTAATGGAAGGCATTAAATCAAAATGATGGCCAACTGCTGGGAGAATTAAATGCTAAATGAAAAATGGGGAGGAAGAGTTGCAGGACGAAGTCCCAGAGTAGTGCATGTGCATGTGACATTCACAGACACAGGAATTTTCCAAGAATAGGCTACATAATCTTTGTTTGAACTCCAGTGACCAGGTACTCGTAAGCATGGGTGTGTATCCCTGCAGACAGCCTTATTCATGGGGTGGGCTGGCACCTCACATCAGTCAAGACTTGCAACCTGAGACACAAGTTTTGTTTACACTAACCTTTGATTAATCTGTACTCAAGAGTCATAGCAAATATTATGCAGTGCTTTGTCACAGTGGACACTGGGCATCAAGACAGAAGTTATCCTGATGGCAACACAGTCGGAGGAACACGGTGCACACAGAAGGCAGCCAACACCTGAGTGCTGAAGGAACACTACTATTAAGTATTGTTAACTTTGGGGATAAAATATTAAGTATGCTTAAAATTTTGTATTATAGTCTCATGGCCACTATACTAATGAGTGCTTGGTGTCCTACATCATACCAGACAGAGTTTACTGTAAAAGACTGGCCTCTCCCAAGTTACTTGTTACTGTACTGGGATGTGTGAAAAAATAAAATTGCACACTAATATAAGGAAAATATTGCTTGAGGAAAAAGCATACACGATCTTTCTGAATGCAGATGACATTTTATTATATTGACAGATTCAGAACACTTCATACAACCCTCGGTGACAAAAACACAGCACTCTACGGGAAAACCTGCAAGAATCACCAAAAACAAGACAGAAAGCTTACTTCTTTCTAGATTCAGCAGCTCTTCAATATTTAAGGACTGGAAATATAAAATGGTAAAGAAAGGTATGCAATGCTCCTGGGTTTTCCTGCTCTGGAAAACCTGGTCAAAGAGAATGGAGAATTCTAATTAAGAGTGTAAGGACTGGAAAATGGAGTCTGTGCAAACTATGCAAGCCTCCCAACATGCTGTGTATATGTGAATGGTACAAGCCCTCAACCCCGTTGAAGTCCCTTAAATTTGGCTGCTGAGGCCTCATTCACTGTATGCAAGCAGGTGCTGGAGCAGGGTCCACCTCTTCTGGGTATGGTATATACATTAGAAAAACTCAAGTTGAAAACATTGCTTTCCATACATGGCATCATCTTGAAATTGGCATGGCAGATCTTGGTCAAACTGCACACAAAGTATGCAGACTGGTGAAAAAGTGATAGTGTATTTTCTTACTCAACAATATGTATTTGTGTATTTAATATATTTAGTTTGTCAAACTTACTGTTAGTTTATCAAAATAGGCATTGACCTTTCACTTATGATAGTTTAGGTTGTTGGTAATGCAAATGACCATGTATATGTTTGGGATGAAAACAAGAGGCAAGTCTTCAATGAAGAGAGCTGAAATTAAGGGATCATGGAGTTATTTTGGTTGCTTGGCCCATCTGGGGAGAAAATGGTGCAATTTATGAATTACATTTGATAAAGAACACAAATCAAATGAAGACAGGAAGTGAGGCAGTACATCCTGCTAACTATGAAAAGAGAAACCTTAGTGGCTCGCAGACTGGCAAGCAAAATGTCTTGGAAAGACTTGTTTTGTTGTAGGCTGATCAGAAGGAAATTATGAAAAATTCCTCTAAAGGAATCTGCATAAAGTCATATCGAAAGTCAACCAAGTGCCACTGTAAGGCTTAATAGACCAGATATGGCATTGTTCAAGATGCAAATAAACTTATGTAAGTTTATATCTTATGTAAAGATGTATGTAAGTCTTAAAGAGATGTAGAGAATTGTTCACTGCTATGTTGCTCTGATTTTGCTCTGGGATAATTACAGACTGAAATAACATGAAAGCCTCAACAGCTTATTCAGTCTACAGTTCTCCATGGTCAATAAATTCAACTGGGTAATTCCTTTAGAAAAGTTTTCAGAATGAAGTATTGGAGAATGTGTTTGAAGTAAAAAGCAGCATTTGTTAGGACACGAGGTGAATCATCATGCAATGGGAAATGGAAATAGTTCTGTTATAGGACTGCTTTGGTAGTCTGCAAAATATACAGATATATTTATTTATGTTATTTCTGTGCAGAGGAGAGCTGGGGGTCCAGATTATAATTTGCATTTTTACATATAAATACCCTTATAGCTACACAGAGAATGTAAAATATGCATGGTTATTCTGATGCAGGGATCAGGCCTTTGGTGATTTTTAGGAGTACTTATATGTCTGACTTTAAGTACACGACTGAGATGCCAGAGTTAATGGCCTCTTTCTTCTTACACAGCAGTAAAGAGAGTTTAGCTCCTCCAGGGGTGATTTAGCAGTGAAGCAGTATTGCTATCCCTATAAAGGGAGCCAGAGCATGGAGATCAGGAAATTCTGCTTCAGGGCCTGGATTTAGATGGAGTGAATCCACCCTTCAGGCTAGAGAGAAGCAAACAAGTTACAAACTGGGCAAATAATGTTCATAAAATAGAGGAGTATGGGGAAAATAAGATACCTTCCATTCCCGAGACTAATTTAAAGTTGTGTGAAGTAAACCTGTATTAGCACAGAAACTGCTACTATGAGGCTATAAACTAAATTAGTACTTGGATGTTAGGTTGATTAAAGCTGTATAGTTATCTAGATAGACTTTTATTGCCTGTCAAGTCTGTGTAAAACAACAAAGTCGAAGTCTGTGCTACTGGTAGGTGCTTTTTACAGACATGGAGGAAGACAGCTTCCCACCCTGAAGAGCATATGATCAAAGAAGTGGTAAGGGATGCAACATGGTGTTTCTTAATATCTTTTTCCTGTTCCTCCTTTTCCCTCGCTCTCTCCCAAAAGGTTTTGGTGCCTTGCTTGTTTGTTGCCTGCTAATTCTGTAGTAGAAAATATTTATTCTATCTCAGATATTGCTCTGTTAATTTTCATTTAACACTTTACTGCTATTCAGTAACAGTCACTGTACTTTCATTTCTAAAATAAGTTATTGAAAAAATATTAGCACTTAATCTTTTAACATACAGTCTTTTCATATAAACTGGATTAGACCCACACACTAAAAATTCAAAAGCTTTGTCTAACCTGTGGAGGATTCAAAATCATTGAACACTGATACACTTTCGCTAGAAAACTCACTGGTGCTTTTACTTAAACTTTACTCACTGTTAAATTTGCATTAAAATTCCTAAAAGGAAAGAAAGTATTAGTGACATGCTGTGAAAGCAAACATGCCAGTTGAAAAGTAGGGTTTGGAAGAGGATACTCTTATCCAGTGCATTACAAATACAAAAAGATCCCTGACTACCATTAATCCCTCTTACCCACACCCACATTGCCAGGCCAGCAGAGGTATTTCCCTCCAGGCACCTTGAGCACATTGTGGTTTCAATACATCGCAGGAAGAGCCAGCCATTCTTTCTTCCTGGAGTTCAAGCAGTGATGAACGGAGAGAGGTCTGGTAGGGAAACTACTCTGTGTTTTGGGTTGCCTGAGAAAACTTGCCTTCCTGTTAGCTGAAGGTTGAAAAACGCTTCCTTGACTGTCACAAGTCAAACACCAAGGCCTCATCTATGGCACCAAAACCAGAGGAAAACAGGGCAGCCTCGGATGCTACTAGTGAGTCAGGGTGTGCAGCCCACCACAGTGAGGACGGAGGTTTGCCCAGGTGTCCACCTGCTCTAGGGCCAGCAAGGAACTGTGGCCTGGTTCAGAGGAGGGTCTGATGACCAAAAATGTATTTTGTTCCCTTAAAATATTAGCACAGTCAACAGGGATTTTTTACTTAAGTACATTTCATCTGTCTAGATAACATCAAAGGTTTAGGGCTATATTTTGTGTGAAAGAAAAGGAAGTTTGAATGTATTAATTAAAAAAGATCCCTTCAAATCCACTCAGCAAATATACATATCCTTTCCTCCCTACTTAGTATACATCACATCCATGCATAAAACCTAGTTTGGATAACTGGCAGGTACCTGAAGTCATGCAGTGCATGTTTTAACCAAGCAAAGCCGTGATGTCAAATAAATACCTTACAATGTGCGTTTCCAGGTTTTCCCAGACTGTATCACCTGATTCCAGACGGGGAAATTACCTGCATTAAGATCAACCGTACCGATCCCCATGAAAACCTGGCCATTAGGATTGTGGGAGGCAGTGAGACTCCTTTGGTTCACATTATTATACAGCATATTTATCGAGATGGGGTAATTGCCAGAGATGGAAGATTGCTGCCTGGAGACATGATACTAAAGGTACAGTACTGTGGAGGAGCAAGATAAAAGTGTCCTAATAAAGAATAAGATGCTGTAAGTTGATCATGAGATGAGATTTACAGTGTTGCTTGTTTGTGCGGGTAGAATAATGCATGCAGAAAGATGTTCAGTTCCTCTGCATGGTATGATGATTTCATTCATTTCAACTGTTTCTGAGGCTCACAGATTTATTTATATTTCCTATTCACTACTAGACATCTACTATTTCTACCCAGAAATGGTAGATCCAAAATGCAATGTAGCACAATAGATTGGTGGCATTTCTGATTCAGTGGTGCAAAGTTTTTTCTGAAAGCAGGTTGAGATCTTTGCCCAGTTTGTTTCTATTGAACTGTGGGCTTAAATCTCAGTTAGTAAGGTGTCAGTTGCCTTATATCCCGCTTACACAAGGATGGGTGATAGGAACTGGATCAGGTTAAGTTTTTTCTGCATCTAGCTCCTGTGTGTCAGGTGTGTAGCACCACAGAGCGTGAAATGCTGCCCGTTCTGTTTTGAGAGTGTTGCGCCACCGACAGCCACAGGTGAAACCTCTAAGAACAAACTTGAGCAGCATTCAGACATTAGTTGTTGGCTGCTACTTCTGCTCCTGTTTCTATAGAAATGTATAACAGGTGAACAAGAATTAGGCTGGGTGGTGAAAGATCACTTATCTTGTGAGCAGTGGCTTCAACAACAACCTTTGAATGGGAACTGCACTCTCAGCTGCTCCAGCAACTTGAAGCTCAGCAAGGATGCTAAATCACATTAGTGCTTCAGCCCTTAGGAAAAAAAATAACTTTAATTTTTTATTTATTAACATTTGAGCAGATTGCTTTGTTCACTGTGGGCCATGCTGCCACGAATACGCTGACGCTGGTACCCAGGCTAACCAGCATGGCATCAGCTGGGATAAAGCTACAGCAGCTGGAAATGCGGTGGACTGCAAGGCAAGCATGCCCCATGTATCTGGGCATGCATATCTCAGGGTTGTCTTCCAGGTGGGACTCTGGATGTCCATCTCACTGCCTGCGCTGGCACACCTGCCTGGTAGGGTTAGGGACTATTTCTCCCAGCCCTACTGACTCTTGCAGCCCTGCCATGCCCACACAGACAGTCTGCAGAAACAAACACTAGTCAAATGCTTTTGTCTGTGCTAGGGAAAATTTCTGTTGCAGTTTGGAGACCTTTCTTCATATTTAAATGGTTCAACCTGTGTAACGTAAAACTACATGGAAATAACTTGTCTCATTCAGGTTTTCCATCCAGCAATGAATTACAACCTTGCAACTGGTTTCCATTTAGCAGTGATAAAGTGCAGTGCCTAGTCACTCTTACACACGTGGACATGACAGGATTGACTGGAAGCTCTTTTTTTTTTCCTCCTTCTTTTCCCTAGCCAAATTTAAAAAGTGGCATTTCTGCCGTTTTACTACCATCTGAGCTAAATCTTACCAGGAAAACACTGAGAAACATAGAAAGCCTGATTATCTGGTGCAGTATATCAGCATAATAGCTTGTATATATCCAGGACATTTGAACTTCTACTTGAGGCTCTTTTTTTCATTTTAATTAGAGATTCATTAGCTGGACACATTTATTTTTTACTGTACCTAAAGCAGCTGAGAGATAATGAAGAAGAGAAACAGCAGGAAAGTGATGGGAGTGAAAGGAAAGGCTGGCAAGGTTATTTAAATTCAGAAGGTAGTGAAGATATATGAAAGGATATTGGAGCTTGGAGAAGAGCTATAATAAAGCTGAAAAATAAAATGTATGTCTGGGGACTATCAGGGAGAAAGAGGATTTTAAAAAAGAGACAAAAAGTGTCTGTACAGCACTTCCTTTCCTTGAGGAGCAGACTCTTCTACCCCCTAAACTTGGCCTCCTGCACAACACAGTTTGAAACGGCAAACTCTTTGCTTCATATGAAGACATCTGTGTGAATATATCTGTCCTCTCCAGTGGCAATTCAGAATAGACAGCCTTTCAGCTGCTGATTTACACTTCTCTCTTTCAGGTAAATGGCATGGACATAAAAAATGTGCCTCACAACTATGCTCTGTCAATCCTGAAGCAACCCTGCCATGTGCTCCGACTGACAGTGCTCCGAGAGCAGAGGTATCGATGCCGAAACAGCGGACTTTCCCTTGATGCTCACTGCAACAGGGATGACAGTTTCCACGTTGTGCTAAACAAAAGCAGCCCAGATGAGCAGCTAGGAATAAAGCTGGTTCGCAAGGCTGATGAACCAGGGGTATTTATTTTCAACTTGCTGGAAGGTGGTGTGGCTGCTCGTGATGGACAGCTTCAGGAGAACGACCGAGTGTTGGCCATCAATGGGCATGACCATCGGTATGGCACTCCAGAGAGCGCAGCCCAGCTGATACAGGTTTGTCACCACCACTTTGTTCCCCACGCAAAACTGAACTGGGTAAAAACCAAGCAGTGTATTTTCACCAAACATTGCAAAGCAGGGGCCAGACTTAATGGGTGTGTATTTGGGGAAGGGAAGATGTGCCAAGCTCAGATGGGAATTCATCAAAAGGCAGGCCAACCTGTGCCCCTGGAGCATTGGGTCCAGCTTGGTCTTGACTCCCTCCAATGCAGACGGGAGCTGCTGTGCTCCCTGGCGCAGCCCTGGAGCAATCCAGAGCAGCCTAAGGCAATGGAGGGCATGTCTCAGGGTAAACATTGTCATCCTAGACTTGGTGATTTCCTGTATGGATGTTTTACAACTGAAGGTACTCAATACCTTGTAGATATTTCTCACCTAAATTCAGCATATGGAAATCCAGATGTATTGGAAAAAATTGGGTCTGTAGTTGTAGTTTTTATGAATCTCTATTTAGACTTGTGTGGAGAACTGAAGCGGTGCCTGTGCAATGCACTAAACAGTCTTAACACAAAATGGTCAGAAAAAACCTTATGCCTTTCTCAGCTACAAAATCAGCCAGCTTCTGCCTAATTTCTCCTCCAGAAACATTTTCATTTGTTTTCTTTCTTTACCACCTACCTTTTCAGAAAACTTCAACAAAAGAATCAAAGCCAAGAATCTTTTATGCTTTTATCTCATATTTAGAGCAGTCATTATACTTGTGCAATTTTACATTTCATTTGGAGACATGCAGAGTGTTCATATATTGACAAATTTCATGTGCCTCAATACCAGGTTTTCAAATCAGGTTGGATGCTTCCCCTTTTTGACAAATATAATCAGGGTAACGTGAGTTGAACTGAAAGATGCGTTCGAATCCATGCATTTTACAGAAAGGATTCCTCTGTTAAAAGAGACTCACATTTTGCTGTAGCCAACTTTTATTGAAAAGTTTATATTAAAGGTAAAGAAAACGGCATCCCCTTGTTGAAATTCTGGTCTAACATCTTTCTGGGTTACTTTATGTAGCTCACTAACTGGGAGCAGAAGGCAGTGCGGGGGAGGAGGGTAAATTCTCCAAAGGGAACAAGTCTGGAATGAAAACCTTTCTAAAAAATTGGTATTCTTGGAACACTTCTTTATGGCTACAAAACAAGGCAACAGCACTTCATAAGCAAAAACCACATGCAGCCTAGAGATGAAATGGAAATAATGACTAATGAGACCATTCAAACACAAGTGTTTAAAAATGCAACTAAAGCTCTTATTGGGTTCCAAAGAGAGGATGTTATTTATAATAATGCTTGAAATGCACACCAGTCTCCAGGAATTTAAACAACATGCCCATCAAAGGAGACTCATGTTTCCAAACAGCCAGGACTGCATTGCACTGATGTGAGCTCTATGAATCACATTTGCCTAATGTGAAATTCCCAGAACCTGTGTCTTTTTTTCATGTTTTTTCATCAATTATCATTTGCCTTTCCTGTTTCCATGTTATGCCAGAGAAAAACCATTATACTGAAGCCATAAGTGTTTTGCATTCACTTCTCACACAAAGGGATGTTTTACTGTGTCCTCTGATTTCCCAATAGTATCCTGCCTATTAAGACCTCAGCATGTGTCCCTCAATGTGTACATTGAGGTCTTCAAATTAGCGGTGGTGGAAGCTGCAAACACACCATTGGTTTCTTTAAAAACAGAACTAACATCCACTGAAAGTTGGTGGTGGCTTCTTAGGCCAAGAACAACTGGGAGAACATTGGATTTCTGTGGAATCTGATTAGTTTTGACTTCTAAGTAATGAATAATTGGGGCGAATATGATTCTTCAGGCCTTTAGCAATTATACATTAGTATATGTGAAGCAGTTGTTAATCAGTAGATTAGGTGTCTGGCTGTTTATAAGCTCAGTCACAAGAATGGAAATGAATAAAATGCATAAGTGCTAATTTGGAAAGAGCATGCAACGTAACACTTAGGAGTTTGCTGCTTCGCATTTGTCGCATCATCTTTAGTCATGACCTTGTGACAGATGTGGCACTTCTAATCTAAATAACGTGACATGGCACATCAGTTTTCCTTGAGAGTGACAAGAAAAAGATCAGTGGGCACTCATGTGAGCACATCAAGCTGAGCTGCAAGGCTTGAATGAGCCTTTGCTGGTCCCAGATGTTCACCCTCCTCTCTCCCTCTTTCCCCCTCCGCGGTTTGGAGCAGCTGCAATGGGCACATGAGGTTTATAATTACAGTTTTAACTGCTGTAGCTAGTTTCAGCTATTACTTGCATCCAGCCTTAAAGCTAACATAATTTTTTCAAGTCTTTCTTCAGCATAAAAAACAGAGAAGAAATTGTGGGATAAACAAGTGGTAAGAGGGAGGAAAGGAGGGGTGATCAGAGTGAAGCAGTAATTAATATTCTGATCAGTAGAAACATTAATGGGTTTTTATATGGAAGTACATAAATACAAAAGCTGGTCTTGTTGTTTGGATAACTTTCTAAAACACTCTGAACTTCTGAGAAATTACTTGACTGACCTAGAGACAAATGTGACATTGCAATGGAGACTCTTGTTGAACTTTTGCTAGTTGTTCTATGAGAATTAATCACATTTACAACCATCCTTTAAATAACCAACTTTGAGACTAACCATGTGGCAGCAGATGACTTTTAAACAGAAGTTGTGTAAGTTGTTAGTTTTGGAGAAAACTGGGTTTTCGTGGGGCTATGTGCCCTTAGGAGGTTTAGTCCCATATTGTTCAGTTCCATCTCAATCACATTACAAAAACCAGAGATCAGGGTGGTGGTTTCCATTCACCCAAGATACACGATTCTGCTTTTGAGCACCAGGTCAGTCCAGAGTCCAGGAATTAATATTCCATAAAAGCAGACCTGGTAATAATACCTCAAAAGCTATTTTGAAATATGTGTGTATGTACCAAATGACATATTATGAAGCTGTGGAGATTTGAGTTGCTTGTGAAAAAACTACCATCCCTCAAGACACTGTAACGAAATGTGCACAAAGCACAGGTTTTTTTAACTATAGTGACATTTTTCAAAAGCACTTTTTAACTCTCAGCTACTGCTATTGAATCCAGCTCCAGCAAAGACAAACCAAACTATAAAAACAAAAATCCCAGGGGCCTCCTCTGGCTTCTGTTAATTGTCTGCAGGAGATTTGATTTCAGTAGTGCAACTGGATCTGGGTTTGGTTTACAGCTGCTTGTTCCACACCAGCTTTCCTTGGAGCGACTCCGCAGCAGGCACGGCACATTGGTGTGCCAGCAAGTGAGTACAGAGGTCTGTCTGATGCCTTGGGACTGAGGTTCCAGAGAGCATCGAGCATCGCTTCTGCAGCCCCAGGGGACCAGACCTTCAGATGTGCTTGTGGGGGACTCCCTGTCAGATAGAGCAGTTCCTCAGTAATGAACTGTGAGAAAACAGGAGCCCCTCCTGCCTGCCTCAGCACCAGGGTCTTCAGTCTGGAGAGGAGGAGATTAGATTCATTTTTTTATCTTCTGAGTATGCTTCTATAGTGTATAGGTTATTTCTACACTTCTCTTCAGTGCATTATGTTGGTTTGCCCTTATAGCAGATATCTATGATTTACTCAGCTAAGCCTCACTCCTTCTCAGCTCTATCCTGGCACCACTGTTGTCTCGAACAGGTTCATGTGAACCTCACTGAGGGAAGAACAAAGTCATTTGCCAAATAAGACCTTTTCTTTCAGAATTTACACCAAATTTTCAAGATAAGTATTAAGTAGCTGGCAGTATTTTTTTTTAATGGACTTTCTTGACCTGAACTGATGCTGCTGCCTTACATCATTGCAACCATGTTAGCAGGAAATCCAAACCATGCTTAAACAGGACCCATGTTTTGTGAACACTCTGAGGCTGAAGCGCAGGGGTTTATTCTCCCGCAGGCCAGCGAGAAGCAGGTTCACTTCGTGGTGTCGCGGCAGACCCGGCAGCAGACCCCTGACATCTTGCAGGAGACGGGCTGGAGTTACGGCAGCTCCCAGCCCTGTCCCACCGAGAGGAACAGCCACGGCAAGGTGAGGGCACCAGCGCTCGCGCAGTTTCTCTGCTGTCTGTGGAACAGAGCACAGCACAGTGTCTCGGGGTGTTATCTCTGGTTTCTGTCACAAGAAGCAGCATGTCTTATTCTGCAGTGGAAACGTAAAAGCTGTGCTCTTTGTTACTTATACACTGCTTTTGCCCTGACTCTTGTCTGGGGTGGGAAGGGAAGGAGAAGGCAAAGGGGAGTGGTGAGGCAGGGGGCTGATGTGCACACAGTGTCCTGGGCACAGACATAGACAGCAGTCCCAGCCAGTGCAGGACAATGTGCTCCAACAAAATTAAGAGGCTTATCTGAAGTTTATCCAAAGTCTGCAAACAAAAAGCTTTCATATGCTGGCCTCAGAGATTTCCATAAGCTGCTTGAAAATTATGGTAATTATTCGTCTGTTGCTCATTTCTTAAGATATCCATGCTCTGACCCAGCTGGCAGTTTGGCAGCAGACAGCATCTGTGCTGACCGGTTTCTGCAGGGCTTTGGACCCAAAACATGTTGGCTCTGATCTGGCAGCACCCGGCACTCGCACAGGAGGGGGTTACAAGTTATCTGCAATGTACCTGGGTACATTGGGTGTTTGGTGCATTTAGATTTGCAATGTGCCCTCTGCATAAGGCAGAGAGACTCTTATGATCAAATGTATGAGGTTTTAAAGCAGAAACCATTGCAGAAAGAACTTTGAAAATACCTTTTCCTGAGTGTATTCAACATTACTCTTTTCACAGAACTATAGACAGAAGAAGGTATGTCCGGAATTTATTTCACTAAATTTAAAGTCATGTGGCTGGTTAATTTACTTTAATCACTCTGAGTGTCACCACTTATGCAAACTGTTGTGACCTGGTTCCCTGGCCACCGGTGCTGGGGGTGCATCAAGAAGGTGGATAAGCAGGTCTGGTTTAAATCCATCCTGCCTGATAGGCAGCCAGATGTGTCCTTAAAGGGACCTTTGAACTGAACTGGCTGTCAGGTTGGGCGCACAGCTGTCAGCCAGGAGACAAGCCTAGCTCTGCATTTTACAAATATTTAAAGATACCCAACCTTTGCAGTTTAGTTTTGTTTTCTTAAAAAAAAATGTTCAGTGGTTTTATCTGTTAAAAAGTATACTAATGTCTATTTATTTATTTTTACTTTTCCTTTTTCTCGAAGTCTCAATCACAGTTCTTGTTAGATGTGACTGGCTCAGCAGGAGTTAAATCAGAGAGCAAAGTCAATGCTCAGTAGCTACTACTCAGTAGCAAATAGTGCCCATTTAATCATGCATCTGCAAGGCATTACTTCCTAATGAAGTAATTATTTCCATAGGGAGATGTGTGGGACAGCAATTAGCTCTTGTTGCTACTGTATGGTTTGTAGTGATGCTCTTAGGACCTGCTAGCTCTACCATGTTGATCTGGTTGATTGTTACCACATTATTTGAGGACATGACTTGTCTTCCATACACTGCCCTAGATCCCCATTTTCTCTTCCTGTACCAAGAGGTGTTAGATTGGACTTCTTGGTAAATCTCCCCTTGTTTTGGGTAGCTGTGAGACTGAAGAACCAATGTGGACCTTGCAACTGTCCTTCAAAGATTAGTGAATCACTTTTTGTTGGATAGGCCATGGCTTTTAGGCAGATTTCCAGTTGGCCACAAGAGCTGGGTTCTACATAAGCACATGAGTGGGCATGCTGCTGTGGGCTTCTGCCCAGTGCCACTGTTTGGGCACCTTCCAAGGAAGGTCACAGCCAAATGCAGTAAATCCTGAGCTGTTCTTTGCTCCCTTTAGCTTTGTGTGTGTGCAGTGGAGGGCTTGTTTCTATTGCTCTGGCAATAGATCAGTAGATCAGTACAGCCTGTGGACATGATGAGCTTCAGGCACTGTAGGCTTTTGGTCTGATAAAATCATTACTGGAGAGTTATTTGCCCTTTTATAAGGTATAAGTGTGTCAGTTTGAATTTCTTTTGCTTTTTTGCTGAAAGTTTAGCAGAACATCATTTGCAATTCAAGATCTTTCAACACTAACCTTTGGCAGACTTAAAATGCTATTTGTTTTTTAAATAGACATTAGTGCAGGAGTAATGCTTGCAAGCCTAGGGCCTGCAAAGTGTCCCAGCGCATGCTCCTGCTCAAAACCAAGGCAATACTTGTTGGCCGCACTTTGTTGTCAAGGAAGTTTCCTATGGGTGCATGGTTTGACGAGCCTTCTACCTGCTGCAGTCAGTAAGCAGTAGAGCATGTATATATACATGGGCTGAAATCTGCTCTCAAGCCTTGGCTGTATTCAGTGCCAAGAATGAACTCTAGCTTCCAGCAGACATCTTGCACATACAATGGCTCAGGACCTGCTTTTGGCCAAGTTGTTGCCCTCACAACAGCCTGTGTCCATCGAGAAAGCACAAGGAGGCAGCTCTCTTCCAGGCCAATGTCAATGGCAGTCAGCCACACAGCCATCAAGGTGCTGGAGAAAGAGGAGGATGGTCTGTGGTGACCACATCCTTCTCTGGTGGTGGTAATGCTTGGGGTACGGTGTGCCGGGAGACTGCTCCTGCACAGGCCCTCGCTGAGCTGTTTTCCTGTGTACGGAGATAGGGGAGACACAGCCCAAAACTGTTCCCTGCTGATGCCTGGATTGCAGAAAAGAGAAGATGTCAGAAACATTTTCTTGTGCAGCCGAGGTTGTTGAGCCGGGCTGTAACGCATGAATGAGCTAGATTTGGTTTCTTTGAAGTCAGTGGGAGCTTTGCCATTAATTAAACAGCACTTGTTTTTAATTTGAACTGTTTTCTTACTCCTTTCTAACAAATTTTCTAGTACTTAAAACTGATCTATTGCCCTGTTGCTTGAGCAGGCAATGTTCTCTGACTATAGGACCAGGTTAGCCTTCAGGTGAAGCATATTTTCCAACCAGACACAGCTACGTCCTCTGTCTGCAAGACACGTGGCATAGTTTTGATGTTATGCTAATCTGCTGTAAATATTTATTTTACAGTAAAAATACAGAAAAGGAAAAAAAAAAAGAGGAGGATATGAAGTGTTATGTTCTTTTTCTCCTGATCTCCAAGGTCACTTAAAAATGACAGAAAGGGACAATTGTTTAGAAGAGAATGCATTGAAATGCAGTCACTGATAAACACTGCCTTTCAACTGGTTTACTCAGTATCAGTTGTACCTCCAAGAAAGCGCTACGTGTGTTTACTAAGAAAGGCTTTGCTTTCCTTTCATCACTGCCCTCGTCTCAGTCAAGTCACCGCAATTCCTTTCTATTTGCAAGCATGCAAAAAATGAGATGTGGAAGAGTAGCTTCAAAGGAAAACCGGTCCTACATGGTCGAGCATACAAGTACCAGCACTTTTATGATTCTTCATTGAAATGTAACAGGACAATTTGTTACCAAGCACTGCTTTGAAATGTTGTAAAACAACACATTGTAAGGCTACATTGTAAAACTCTCAGAAGTTTTTAGGTTCATTTGCAAGCCATAAGCTATGACTCTGACGCAGTGCCTGTGTTCCACATGGCTCAGATGTGGCATGTCCAAACAACTACCTCAGTCTGGTCCTGGTGACTATGAGAAGACCTTTTACACTGAGCTCCTCGTCTGTTTGTTCTTGGAGCTCTGTGGCAGCTGCTGTTCTTCTACTCAAGTGTCTGGGGATACTTTGCTAAGCTGCTTAGAGGTTCTGGGTTTTGTTGTCAATGTTGCACCACAGAAATCCTGATGTGAAGTTAGTTCCACAAAACACACCTTTAAAAAAAACCACAAAACAAAGACACAGCCTGCCCTACTCCAGTAAAAATTCCTTGCAGCTGTCTTCCCTTGTCCATCATCATCACTGCAGGAGCAGCTATGGACTTAACTCCTCTGCTTTCTGTGCCGCTGGCCCAGAAATTGAGGTGCAATGTCTCTATGGGATCTTGAATTTCTAATAGATTAATGTAGCTTCAAAATAGTTTTATGGATTGTTTTTGCATGTTTATAAATGTGAGGTCACACTTGTGATTGAGAAGGTTGGGGTTTTTTTTAACACACATTTGAAATGTATTCAGCAGCACACTATTATATCTACATATGAACTTGGAATGGATGGTGCTGTTCCTGCAAGAGGGGCAGGGATCCTCAGGAGTTGATGCCAAGAAGTACAGCTTATGAAATACTTAAGGAAATCAAAGCAATTAATGTTTAAACCCAGATTTTCTGGAGAAGCATCCTTGTCTCTCAAACTCTTCTGTAGGAACTGGATATGTTGCAAGCATGACATTTGGTTCACAGATTTTTGGGAGTTTGTGTTGCCTCTCCATCCCAAGGCTGCCTTTGAGTTTGTTTCACTCTCACTGATGCACTAATTTTTATTGCATGGTCAGTGGTGTGTATGTAACTTCCCCTGTTCAGGGAGAGGAATAAGGGGGTGACCATCCTCAGACTGTCCCAAAGTGGCCTTTTAAGCACAAGCACCCTAGACGTTACTAGCTCTTCACTCTATAAATGTCCTTTGCTTTTCCTGAACAGAAGCACATATTCTTTGAGTGTACTCCCACCAGTAACTCACACAGAAACATAGAAATCTGGAAGAGCAAATGAAGTGTCTGTCTTCTAATCTGTCACCAAGAGTTTCATTCCTTTAACCCAGGTGGACCATTTCTAATTAACTATACAGATGACATTCAGACTACAAGCAGCAAGATAAGAACTGTGACCTGACAGTCAAAGATATGAGGACCACTAGTGATATTAACATGAAGATTTTTTTTTTTTAAATCAGATTCCTTATTTAAATTTCAAAGCCCTGCTTCTATTAGTCTCAACGCTAAAACACTTCTGATTTTGGCAGGAACAGTGCCTGACTTGAACTGTTAAAGCACAGACGATCTTGGTGGTAGCTCTGACTCTGCAGATGCCTTAAGCCCCAGCAAGAGCCATGCCTGCCATCTGGCCAGGCATGACCAGTGCTCTGGTATTCCCTCACCGAATATTTATGTCAGTAGAAAATGCCTAAGCTGTCAAGGGGGTCCTCATGCCCACTGTGTTTGTTGTTGCTGTTTTCTCCATCACAGAGCACCCTTCACACTGTCACCTGTCATGAGAAGGTGGTGGTTGTCCGGAAAGATCACACAGAGTCGCTGGGAATGACTGTAGCAGGTGGAGCATCCAACCGGGAATGGGATTTGCCTATCTATGTGATGAGTGTTGAACCTGGAGGAGTTATCAGCAGAGATAACAGGATAAAAACAGGTAAAAAGAGGGGATTTTGAAAGCCTACTTTCATTCAAAGGCTTCCTTTGAAAAACAGAGGGATAGTGAAAGAGCATCATACCCTGACATCTTCAGCCAACTCATAGATTTTGGGATGTGTCAGATCAGAGGATCTCAAGTCAGCTACCAGAAAAGGTGTAATGTGCAGCAGTAACCATCTCTGTAAGTTGGGATGCAGGCATATTGTGGTAGGAAAAAGAATAAATAGTTTTTCACAGGAAAATAAGCTTGCACCACCATCTTCTAACTACTGAAATCTTCATTGTACAAGCTTCATGAGTTTTTAATGTAAATTTTTGTGCTTGTTTGTCATATCATTCATGGCTTTGAAAGAAATACAAAGGAGCAGAATTCTCATCACATATGAAGCAATGTTGGTGCCTTATGACTCAATATTGTGTCTGGAAACATTGGCTTCATAACTCTATTTGGCTTTTGATATATCAGAGTGATAAAATGAATAGCTTCTCCCTCTCTGCATCAGTAAACCCTGAGAGTAAGATGAGGAGCATATTTTGTCATTGAGTTTTGTGGGAATAGGTAGGCAGTAGAGGAACTGTGAAACTCAGTTTTCAGGATGTCACATTTCTGAGAGCCAGGTACTGCAGTACCCCACATCCAGCAGCCACACTCTTCCACGTCTCTTTGCCCTTCATCTTCTACACTCAGCTTCAGCCCGGCTGCTGCCCAGAAGCTGGAGGGAAATCCTAAGTGTGAGGGAAATGAAGACACCCAAAAGTGGGGCAGAATAGTCCAGTCAAGCCTGGGTCACAGAGCCCAGCATGTATGGAAACCTCCGCTTTGCAGGAGCTATGGCTGCTCATCAAAACCTGTGTAAGAACATGACAACAGGAGCAAACCAGCAGGTTTCCCCTTGCTTCCTGCTGGGAAATGACTGCCTCTCAGTGGGGTACATTTTCCAAAAAATATTCATCATGAGGCAGCACAGAAAATAGAGCCTAGTTAATTTGATAAAATTAGAAACAAATGAATACGTGATGTTATAACAGCGCCATAAGCCTCCACAGTTTAGAGCAGCCCTGGAGCTATTGTCTGTCTCATCAGGGCAGACCACAAGACAAGGTTAATGTTCACATCATGCTGCCTGGACCAACAGTGAATACACTCCCAGCCTGGAGCAGGCAAAGCACAGAGGGCACCCAGGGAAGCCCTGGCTTTGGACTGGGCCACAAAGGGTAGTGGAGCACTTGGCACTGTGGCTGCTTGTGTGGCTTTAATGATGTCTTTATTGCTCTCTGTGTAGTAATTGAGGTCATCTTTGCATTTTTCTCTGAAGCTGCTGTGCCTGCGTTATAAATAAGGCATACAGAAAGATGTTTTGGCTTGTGGCCATTTCAACAGGCATTAACATTTAAAATAATAACACATTATTCCACAAAGCAAACTATGAAAAGCCAGCTGGAGTGGCAGTCCTCAGCTTAGGGAGTTCTGGGGAAGAAAAAACCTTCAGCTTTCAGGTTTCAAGCTCAGGTTGAGTAGAAAAGACGATAACTGGAAGTGGGCTTGAGAGACCTGGGCGTGCATTAGTGCCTGTACCAAAGCTTGTTGGTACAGCAGGATCCCAGCTGTGCCATTTAGCTCCAGATGCAGTGCGTGACATGACAAGAAACCAGGACCAAAGCCTCCATCCAGCCCAGAGATGCTCCTGTGTACAGGATCTAGCCTCTTCTCTTATGCCTGGAGCATGTTCACTAGCATACGCTTCGCATCCACATTAAACGATAGGATTAACAAACAGCCTCATCAGGCAGCAAGGTTTTGGCTTTGATTTGCCTGTTTGTTGGGATGGGGAGGGGATCCTGGAAACACTTGCAGGGTTTTATCATGTTTTATTGGTCTCAGGTGACATCCTCCTGAACGTGAACGGGATTGACCTGACGGGGGTCAGCCGGAGCGAGGCTGTCGCCCTGCTGAAAAACACCAACTCCTCCATGGTGCTCAAAGCCCTGGAGATGAGAGCTTGTGAAGCCCAGGAGGAGCGGGGCCGCCTGCCACCCCCCGAGGCCATGCAGGCCACCTTTGAGAGCAGCGAGTGGTCACCTTCCTGGGTTATGTGGGTGGGGCTGCCACGGTAAGTACATAGATTGCATCCTATTGCTGAAGGGGAGTGGGAGGAAAGATTTATGTTTTCTGGCAATTCTTTCCTTTGGCTTGATTCATTGCACTGACATCTTAATTAAATCCAGGCTCTGTCGCAGGCTTGACTCTAAATACCTACCTTTTGTAAACGGTTATGTGTATGTGGAAAAATAGTCAGGGAAAGGATCCTGAATTGGTCAGTCTTGAAAACATATCTGGCACTCAGGGAACGAAAGGAAAAGCTTGCAGGACTATAGGAGCTTGATGAACTGGGGTCTGGGCTCGACCACCCTGCAGAAAGCGGAGCTACCCCTCCTGCAGCTCTCAAGCTGCACAGCCCTTCTCCTCAGCCAAATCCAGCTGAATTGTTTGACTTTGCCCAGATGTTGCAAAGTGCGTGCAGTTGGCCAGTATTCCTGAATGACCTCTTTTAACCCCACCCCTGACCAAAAGGAGTACATTTGTCATACACAGGAAGCAGCTGTGTTGTCATTTCAGTAAGGATAATAAAAGTCACATTGCATGTCTGTAAGTTCTCTCAAGCATGCTCAGTGCACGGTGTGTATACCTGCAGCTTCAGCGACATTTTGTAAAGCATTAAATGAGGGCATGTTCTGAATCTGTGAATATGTGAAGCTAGCATGGCACAGTTGAAATTTGTATTCAGTTTTAAGGAATGAGGAATTTAGCCTACAAGTTATTTTTGCCCATACTTCTAACCCTGGCAGCAGTTCAGAGTGTCGTCTTCTCTTTTAAGGGAGGGCACGACAACGGTCTGCAGAACAGGTGGGGGTTTCAGGCAGTTTCAGGACTTCTCTTCATTTCCCAGTCTCACATAGCATTTTAGATATTTTCCTTCTTTCTGTCTTGAGCCATTTTGAGCTCCTTCACCTTGCAGCAAGTTTTTGTGAGTGTGAGGGCCAGATGTTTGGAGGCTTGGTCTGAGGCTGATGATTGTGTAACATGTGCAGAAGGCAGGCTGTGCGCCTGTCACCCACAGATGAAAGGTTCCTCCTCTAGTGGAGAGGACTATGTCCTGTGAAAGAAAAGCAGTAGAAAGAAGAAGAGGAAAAAGGGAGATGAAGGCCAGAGCTCCACAGTACTGCAGGCTTGCACCCATGGTTTGAAGCTTGGAAAGAAAGGGTGCTTTTCCCATTTTAAAAGCAAGTCTCTAAGCTCAGTCTATTCCCCTGCTCTGAAGGCTGCAGGTGTGAAGCCATTTCCACTGCTTTGGTCTGAAGGAAAATCAGCCCCAGTGTCAGCAAGGCTGAAGATAGGAGCTTCATTGTAACCCTGTTCCCAGCTGCGACCTCACGCACAATGCACAGCGTGGCCCTTCTCCCTCAAAGAAGAGCAGGGGATTGGTATGCAGAGCTGGTACACTGCTCTGAACATCAGACTAAGGCAGGGACAAGCACTGATTAGATGTGATATTAACGGAGGGGTACTCCATCCTTGTTAGTAGCTGTTGGTTTAGCAGAGGTGTGAGGATTGGGTTTGGGTTTGCTCATTAGTATTATCAGACTCTTCCTCACCACGAGTGCACTTACCCTCTTACTCTTGAACTGATTCTCCAGGGCCCACACCAGACATCTGGAAGTCCTTCAGTGAGTTCTCTCACTGGGATGTGTATCACAATAACTCATTTCCCTCCAGGCTGAGCATTTAACCTTTTCCTATCTGGATTTCTATTTGCTCTTGACAAGGATCACATCTCACTAGATCTCAAGATACCACCAGCAGTTTCACAAGATTTTCCAGGCTGTTAGAGGAAATTATTCTCGGTTCAATTAGATGTCTGACAAGTCCATCTTGGCCAAGGTGCCTGATGGGCAATTATGGGGCAAGATGGTAAAGATTCAACCACCTTAATTAAAACCAGTTACCAGAGGGACTGCTTCAAGATAGGTGAGTCTAGAAACGTTTGGTACAGCTGATGGAAAAGTCAAAATCATGATTATACAGAATCATGCAAGGTATTTAGGAAGATGGGCAGACCTACAGAAGGAAAACTGAACAAATAGAAAAGGCAGTAAAACTAGGCCAGGAACAGACAATTGAACAGAGAGGCAGCTGGATGGTGGATTCTTTAAATTCCGTCAAGAAGGGAAAGTTGTGGCTCTAGACAAACTGTGGCAGTGCAGTGTGAGCATCCATTCACAGGAAGCAAGGCAGGGAATGTGGAGGCAGCCTGACACCACAGGTTGAAGGGGGATGCTCAGGCACAGGAAACACAGTGTCTTTCTTTCCATGTTACAAAAACATGGAGTTTTGATGAAAATCCTGTGAAGAGATGAGCTAAAGACTAAAAGATGCCTACAGACCTCTGACTATGATGGATGAAGTAGAAAACAGGCTGACTTTAATAACAACTACACAATTAAGAATACTTTTGTCACCTTTGAGGCTGGTGTACTGTAAATACTTAATTCTCTGTGCTAGTGTAGAACTTGCCCCTTTCCCAAGGACTGCATACATGTTACAGAGATGGGCACAGACAAGAGGCACAAATATTGAGAGTTAGGGAATTCTCTTGTTTTCATGGAGCAAGTCAATAGCAGCAGAATCAGAAAGGTTATCTGACTCCTCGTGCCAACACTCAAAGCCTTGGAAAAGCCATGTTGCATAATTTACATTTGTGGATCTTGCTTAAATTGTGGCCCTTTTCTTGTGAGATCTTAAAATTGGCCTCGGTCACTCTTATATTGCTTGCTAGTACATAAAAAACTCCTCTGTTCTTTCTGTAGTACAATCCAGTGTGTGGCGGTTATAAAATAGGCGCACAAGTGCATCTGACGTGTCAAAACTTGGACCGCATGCAAGCGGAGGGGTGGTGAGCTGGGCGTGGGGAGGAGGCAGTGATGCAGGACCTCAAGTATTCCTACCCAAAGACTTATTTCAGGGTAGCTAATCTAGTTGTTTGCTGCTGAGAAAGACAGGTCTCCTTTATTGTTGGAGGGAAATGTTGTTGTGAAGCATGCCCAGAGGAAATAATGTGGAGCAGCTGGTGAAAAGCGTTTCTCCAGCCCCATGATGTTTTTCCTACCCTTGCTTGTATTCCTGCTTTCTTTGCTCTCTTCATATTTCCTTCCCTCAGCTAGCACTTAAAAATACTTTATAGATCATCTTGTCATAACATTTACAAACATTAGTACTTCACAGGAGTGCTTTTCTTCATCCACAAAGTGAGATGAGAAAGACAGGAGGTGGCCAAATGCATTCTGCAAACTTGGGGTAGAACTGGATGTAAAACATGGAATTAGGACAGAAACTCCCCCAAATTAACTCCCATCTGGACTGTAGGGCTCTGGGAGTAATTCTTGAGTATTACTGTACTCCACTGCCAGTCATCTACTGCAACAGGGCAGGGGGAGGGGTGATGCCTTTCATACCTGTTATTGCTGAAGTCCCCCTGAAGTTGGGCTGGTTTTCGTTCCCAGAGCATTAGGCTACTACACTTTGCAAAAAGCAGCAGTGAACCGTACATTTAACTACTTGAAGACAGGCATTTTAAAATTCCTCTTGCATCAGTAACTGATGCTCGGTTGTAGCATTTCTTATGACAGGACCCTGTGTCTAGACACTGCTTATTCTCAAGTCTTGAATCTGAGGCAAGTTCACACATAAATTACTCCTTGTCCTCAGCTTTTGGAGCATTCACAAACAGAGGCAGTAGAGTGCGAGCTGCTCTCTTCCAAGGCAGAAGCTGGTTCTCCTTGGCCCAGCTGCAGTTTAGTGGGTTATGACAGTTTAACTGGGTCAAAACACAGGCTGGGGCTTGTGTTACTGCAGAGAAGTAATCTACTAAAACGCACTAAGCATCTTCGGATGACGCAAGTACTTATTTCATTTTCTCTCTGTGGCACTTTCTAGCTTGCCTTTATTACTACACAGCCATAGACAGACCCAAATGCACAAACTCCCTTTGGGCTGCTCTTTGCTCAGGCAGAGCAGGCATCTTTGCTAATGTACTGAAGTATTTGGAGCAAGTGGAAAGAAGGTTATACATAGCTCAGATTTGCACATGCCTGCCTCTTAGCATCCTTTTCCCATTTCTGACAGCATTGATGTATAGCTGATGGATGGTGCACTGTCACGTTTATACCCTCTGTCCCATAGGATGAAGGTAAGGAAACATCAATTTAAAGGCATAAACACCACCCACCCACTCCTATGCTGTCACGAGTCAGTCTCTAGCTATGGCCAGTGTGATGGGTCAGATCCAGCTTGCACCAAACACCCACACAGCTCAATACCCTCAGTAGGATGAGAGAAAACACGAAGAATGAGAACAAGAAAAATCATGGGTCAAAGTAAAAAACCAGGGAAAACACTCCCCAATTACTCTTGAAGCCAAAACAGACTTGGCTTGGGGAATTTAACTTAAAACATGTCATTACAAATTTGGATCTTGGGAACCAAAGTTAATAAACATGTAAATGCCTTGGAAAACCTCTCTCCTCTCCCTTTCACATGCCCAACTTCACTCCAGCACGTCTCCTCCTGCCTTCCTGGTCTCCATTGCCTTGTTGTCACAGTCTGTCCCTTCAGTGAGGTGACAGGCAGCGCAGTGGCTTGGAGTCAGCTGTTTGCTTCTCCTGCTCCTTGCTTCCCATGTGTTTTTTTCTGCTCTGGCAGAGAAAAACCATAATGCTAGTATGCCATGTCTATTTTACTTAAATTCAGCATATACTTTGGCAGCAAATACCTATTTCTGCTTTCTGAACTGAAGGAGACTGTATAACTGTCAGACCATATGTACAGAAGGCATGTAAGTCATCTTTGTCTACACTACAATTTCTTCTTATGTCTTTGCCTGCTCAGCTATTTCTTTTCTAAGGCATTAGGATTTAGCTGCTCACCTTTCCATTTCAGCAATGTCCTCCTTAAGGCAGCGAGCATGGCGCCGGGCAGTAGAGACCCCTGCCCCCCAAAATCCATACTAGGTAATAGCACTAATGGCTGAATCTTGGTGTCGCTTGGTCATGACCTTGATAAGTACCATTTGACATAGAGGGTTTAAGTGATTTTGCACATTGAAGAAGTCCACAGATGGTAAAGTAATAATGCCTGACTGCTGAGGAAAGCACCAAGTGGCACCTGTTTCTTACATTAGCAGTCAGTGAATCCTTGTGCAAATATTATACACCTACCATCCTGGCAGCAGGTGAATATTTGTAGGTCCTGAGGGACTAATCTAGTATTACTGTAAAACCCTGCTGTGAAACACAGCAAAAGCATTATTTGACAAATAAAAGTTAAAAAAGCTAGACGCATTGGTCTTTAAGATGCAGTTATTTATTTTTCTACAGAAGTGTCAGTTGTTTCTTAGAAACCTAAAGAGTGTCTGTATAGTTTGTAGCAGTTGTTTGCTGTAGCCAGGCTCATCGTTTCAGATTTGGGATAGCAAAAGGATTTTCAGGTTCTTCAGTCATTCAGTACATTGGGCACATTGAGTACATGAGTGGGTTAAGTAATAAGCATAGAAATTTTGGTGGCTCTGTAACTAATGAAATTAATCTTGTTTTTTCCTGCTTGGTTAAAACAAACAAACAAACAAACAAAAAACCAAAACCCTCAGGTATTCATGCTATTACTGTGCTCAGAGCAATCTGCAACATGTAAGAGTCCAATAACCTTATTAGTCTTGCTTTCCCCTATTCCTTGCTTCAGCTAAGATTTGACTCAGCATAACTTAATCATAAAATAAATCTAAAACAGAGGGGAAGAAGCAGATTTCAGCTCTCTTATCATAAAATGGTGTTAATCATAATAGTGAGGACAAAGCTATCTTCTTGACAGCAGACGTAGCACTCCAAATCACTGATTGACATGGGCAGGCTTCTCTTCCCTTCTGTGCAGTGAATAACCACATCACTTGACAAGAAAAGCTCAGGATCTCTTCTTCTAATGCTACTCTTCTTGGTGTCATTGCTGTGATTCTTGGAAATTCTGGAAAATTTCATTGGCCTTGAATTTTTTTAGCTTTGACATGTACCACAGCAGTAAGTGCCTGACTGCTTTTGGCACAGTTAATCACATATAGGTTCTTACCTGGCAGACAAAGCATCACCAGCCTGTACAAGGAAAATGAAATAACCTCTGGAATGATGGTTTACAAATCCACTCTCAGTTAAGTGTTTTTCTCTATCACTTTCAATTGTAATTAGACAATATGCATTAATGCTTACCCTATGAAACAAATTATTTGTTATTTTAACCTCAAGATTACCTAGTAATTTTACTTTTAGGATAATTGGCTGTGGAAAGCAGCACTATAAAAATGGAAGGGAGCATAGGTATCTACTGCAGTGGAACTTTGGTGCTATTTTGTGTCTTCAAAGCACTCTATGGGTATATGAAAAGACAAATTCATCATTAATGATTCATCAGAATCCAAACTTAACAGTAAGATGTTTAATTAGACTGGTTTGTTTCAGATATTTGTACAGCTGCAAAGAAATTGTATTACGAAGAAACACATCTGGAAGTCTTGGCTTCAGCATTGTAGGAGGTTATGAAGAACACACTGGGAACAAACCATTCTTTATCAAATCCGTTGTTGTGGGAACACCAGCATATAATGATGGCAGAATTAGGTAATGATAATTATCTAATGAAAAGTACCATTTAAGTAAGTCTTTTATCTAGTTAATTTGTGGGTTTGTTTTTTTAAAAAAAACAAGTTTTCATTAAGACAGTGTTGGGGGCCACGGGAAGACTCATTGATACAGAACTAACTCTGACAGGTCTGCAAATAGGATATATGTCATTAACTTTAACAGATTTGCCTTTAATAGTATTTTCAGATGTCTAGCAGTCTCCAGTATATGAACAAATATAAATAGAGAATAAATGCAGGATTATGCAGAAAACATAAGTCAATTAAGAAGTCTTCAGTGTGTCAGAGCATGGATCATTCCCATCTGAAAGAACTAAATCCTATTTGCTTCCAAATGTGCATAACTACTTATCAAGTTCTATGGCAAAAAAAAAAAAAGAAAAAAGGGGAAAAAAGGACTATTTTCACCTGCTTTATTCCTTTATTTATGAACAGCGGTTTGCCAGAGAAGGAATAGTAATACTCATTTCAACCCCTTTCTCCCAGCTTAAGGACATGCTTTGGCATTTGCAAACATTTAAGTTGTCACCTTGTTTAATTAGCTGTTTTCTTGTCTTTGGTTTTTCAGATGTGGTGACATCCTCCTTGCTGTCAATGGCAGGAACACGTCAGGAATGATGCACGCCTGCTTGGCAAGGATGCTCAAAGAACTGAAAGGAAAAATTACTCTTACAATTGTGTCCTGGCCTGGCACTTTTTTATAAAACAAGTCTCCACGGAGAGTATGGCGAGTAATTTAACACAGGAAAAAAGATGGACCATCAGTCTTCACTTTTTTTGGGGGGGTTCAAGTATGTGTTTATACAGAAAAGGTTTGTGAAATTTCAACCTGCATGTCAAGAAAAGTCAAGTTTAGGCAAAGCAGGAACACCTGTCAGAAAATCACTCCAGAGTGATGTAAGCTACTGACTTCAGTCTTTCCTTCCCTGTGTTCTTCAGGTTTTTTGTCCTTTTTTAAAATATATGTATCTATTTAATGCATTATAATAACAATAATGAAATTTGAGAAGCTCCTGCTCACCCACTTTATGATTTACAAAAAGAAATCCTTGAATAACTTATGGAAAATTTTGCCACTTTTCTAGTTGCAAAAATCAGGTGAAGATTTTTATCCAACACAGTACAGCACTTTGATTATGTGTATCTTTCCATGGTCAGCATGAAGCTGGTATTTTCGAGACTTTGAAGTACTGTTTGTTAGTCTGTAAAACTGTGAATTAAATTTTTAAAATAATTAAAAATAACTGTAACTGTGTACTTGTTCAGACATTATTTTCATCTAAAGCCAAATGACCTAGTTTCCCTTGTATGTTTTGATTAATGTTATTAAATCTAGGATTTTTATACAGAATTATTGTTTTTTAAGAAAGTACACTTTACCCTGCTAGTACCATCAAGTAAGTCTTCTAAACAGCACTCTCAGTGCAATTTTGGCAGGACTGCCATGCCAACTGCACTTGATACTGTTCTGGATGAAGTAAAACTGAAAGTGATGATGGTTTTATATTTTTCTTAAAATAGTTCTTTGCCTTTCTCTCCAAATTACTCATGTTCTGAAGTCTTATTTTTTTCCCCTCACACGCTAGCAATGGGAAGAGGATATGTTTGTTAATCTTTATCATGTTAAGGACAGCTGTTTCTCTAGAACAAAGACTCAAATGGACTTTCTCCTAAGCCACTGAAAAGCAGCAGAAATTATTATCCAGCTTAGTTCGCCCTTATGCACCCACACAAACCAGACATAATTACCAAGGGTACGATCACCACACTGAGTGTTCCATCAGACTAAGAGCTATCAGCATCTTTCCCAGTTTCTCTTATTTTTTTCATTTCACCTTAGTACGAGGCTCTTGAAGAGTCTGCAATTCATGCCTGTCCCTGTAGTAAAGGATGACCTTTTCAAATATGAACTCCAAAAGCCATACTAAACCCACGCTGTTCCAGATGTTGGTATATAATAAAGTGAATGCACACTGTTTCTAAAGTCAGCAAAGGAATGACCTTCCCATTGGCTTATGAAAAAGGAGACAATTTAATACAAAGGATTTAAGCCCTGCATATACTGTAAGAGCATAAGCCTCTTGCTGCAACATGTTTTCTCACTGTTTCTTAAAAGACAAAGTCAGTCCAGGAATCTTAACATGAAAAATTAATTCTTTTATTTTTCAAAAAAAACCAAAGAGACATTTGATTTCAAACTAACAGAACAAGATTAAGAGCAAATTATTTTAATACCCAGAAAAATAACAAGATTTATAGTAATCTATTTCTGGCACTAATATATATGCAAGTAGGCAAAAATCACACAAGCCTATTCCACAGAGGCAGCTTCAGTGTTTTCCTGTTCAGGAGCAGGTTCACCACTGGCTTCTTTTCCTTCTTTGCTTCTTTTGGACTTTTTGTGTTTGTGCCTTCTGTGGCTGTCCCCTTCTTCACTGTCGTGACGACGTCTGCTGTTACTAAATAAAGAGAGAAAAAATACCTCAGACAATTGCATGACACTTCAGGCCCCATTTAATTCCAGAGTACCAAAGCCAGTCTTTGCACTTGTATTTGAAAACTGGCACCTGCTCCTGTTCCAACTCACATAATATTTGAATGTCAGCGCCAAACAGTTTTTCAAGGAATGGTCCAAACATCCACTCATCCTGTACTCTTTGTTGGGAAATTGGAATGAGTTTTCACATTTGGAATCCATATTCTAATAGCGATACTTTTAATAATGTCACGTCCCTACTGACATCCCTTAATGGTTTAACATTCTTATTGACCCCCTTCCCTGGACTTAACCTTTTTTTCTAACTTAAAAAGGATCAAGTTGAACAATTTCTATCACTTAGTAAGAATCACTGTTGAGTTCTTACATTAATGCTGCACCTTCACTCCAACTCTGACACCATTTTTACCCTTCTTTCCCCAAATTAATAATTTCTGTTCACTAGCTAAGACTGTCACATACATCATTCAACATAAAGTTACCTGGGACCAACACTGCTTTTTGTCTGTCCACATTTTATATGACAGACTTGTTCCAAGTAGTACATCTGAAGTGTTTACAGTCTTTCCACAAAACTCCAGTTTGTTTGGAGTTCTTTTAAAAGTTTACTTTATTTTGTTAAACTAGTCAAGTCTTTCATACCCTATTAAAAAAAAAAAAAATCAAACCTTCGAGATGACTTATGTCTAGTCTCTTCTTTCTCTCTGTGTCTCCTGTCTCTGTGTCTGTCTTCTTTCTCTCTACTTGTTCTATGGCGGTCATAGCCTCTTTCTGCATAGTCTCTGTATCTGTATCGTTCTTCATCACTGATTAAAAAAGAAGGTATTTTCAGGATAGTAACGCCAAGCAGTGTATATAAAAATTCTCACCCTCAAGATACATGACAGAAAAATCGTAATGCTGCTTCTGGGTTTCTAAATAAGATCCACAATGTATGCTAAAAGGACATTAAAGTTCTTCACCTTACACAGTAGACTTCTGTGGTTAATGCAATTTTGAATGAGAGTTGTTGAATGAAAGTGGAAGGAAAAAAGAATACAAGTGTCACATTAAGTTTATACAGGAGTTATCAAGCAGTCAGCTCAAATCTCTATCTAGCTGCAAATGAAGTACAATCCTACAGAAAATTCAGTAATGTTTTCAGATTGGTGTGTGTAACACTTATCAGCACACGTGTTGACTATTACACCATTTGAGTAAGTTTATTTAGGTTTTGGTACAGTTGATCTATTTCCTTATATCAGCTTCAAGAAAGGAAGAGCTAGGTGCAAAGAGACTGACAGTAAAATATTCTTAATGTTTTGGGTTGCTTTTAAAATAACTTCTCTCTAGTGCCAATGCTGTCTTTATTTCCACTCTTGGATTACCATGAGTGCTGCCCTGCCACAATGCTGGTAAAACCCCTCAACTATTCCAGGCTATACAATAATTTAAAGGCTTTAATTAAGAAAGCATTTTCATATTTTTACTTGATAAAAACGGCAGTTCTAAGAGTTTAGTGAAACTAAACCCCACCACCACGCCCCAAAAAAACCCCAAACAGGGCAACACCTATAGTTAGCGAACACCACTCAAATGCTACATTAATGTAGCTTAAAAAGGCACGGTCATTTCATCCCTTCTCTACCAAGAAAATCCTACCCAGACACAGTGTCCAGCATCATTTAACAACAAGACTTCAGTACAAATGAACTTACTGTAACTACTTAAAATACCACACAAAAATTTTTGGAAAATCCCTGCCAAGTCCTAAAGAAAGGCACAATGTGACCAGGCTTTCTAAGTCAGTGACTAAAACAGGTAACAATTTAGATGCTATTACGCAGACAAAAGTCAAGTGTTTCTTGCTCTGTTTTTGCCAGCATTTACCATAAGAGAGTCTCTTCCTGAGGTCGCTGACAGCAGCAGAAGAGATCAGACAGATCATGCAAGGAGAACAGCTCAAGCCTAAGGAGATTTCTAATGTCCTGGAATAGTGAGAATTTGGATCAAAACAATTTTATTTGCCATCACTTGGATCCTGTGGCCATTTCCCAAGTGAAGACATTACATTAGTGATTACTACAGTGATATATGAAAACTGTATTTGTGAGAAGAAGGAATTCGTGAAACAGCACTTGTCTTTCTATAAAATTCTGTATGATTATATCATGAAGGAAATTTCAAAAATTAGCAATTTAAGACACTGCAGACAAGCATCAAACATGCCACATAAAATCCTGTTTTTCCTATGGGACATAAAAAATATTCACTTCAAAATCATGAAAACTACATCTATTTCTACAGAACTCAAAGTTATGATTTGTAACAGAGCAATATGACTGTATTTATTAGTGCCGGAGTTGTTATAAAATCTTATATAAAAATTGTAATTGTTTAATAAATCATTATTAATAATCAATATAATTAATTTATAAGATTTTATAATGCACTTATGCACAGGTCTGAGAGTAAGCTTCTCAAACCCTGCAAAGTGCATTTGTGACAGATCACAGAATGGTTGAGGCGGGAAGGCACAACTGGAGCTCATCTGGCCCAAACCTCTGCTCAACCACATCCAGATGGCTTCTGAATATCTCCAGGGATGGCGTCCTCTCTGGCCAACCTGTGCCAGTGCTCAGTCACCCTCACAGGCATCATGTCACTATCACTTCTCTTAGTTAAGAGAAGTGGCTTCCTCTTAAGAAAAAAAAAACAAAACCAAAATTCAACTGCAGTAAACACTTTGTGAAAGGACTATGTCAAATCTAACATCTCTCCCACAAGAAAACTCTACAACAGAGACATATCAACTTACAGAAACTGAAGGCAGTACAGCCACAGAACATGAATTCTGGTCATACTACTCCACAGCCAGCTTAAGGCACCCTATGTTACAGTTCAGGGTGTGAAAATACATTGGTCCACCAAGATGTCCAAAACCCAAACAGGGAAACTAAAGCAGCTGAGGTGGAGGGAAGGGAGAAAATAAATCCCAAATCTTACAATGCTGAAACTCCAAGTCCTATGCATTTAACCTGTTTCTACCTGTATCAATCATTTACCATTGTTTTACCCTCAAGTTACTCCTCTACTATCAGGGGAAGGAGGGGAGTGTAGGGGAGACATTTACAACCCAAGTCCTTTTCTAATGAGCATTTCTTCTCACAAGAAAATAACTCCAGACTTCAGGGAAATGGGTAAAATCAACAATTAGAAGATTTTTTTAACCAAGTGTCACAGAAAGATGAGGGTTGGTATCAACTGCTAGTTCCTAAGACAAGGCATACTAAAGACCAGCCTAGCTTACACAGCAGCCAGCTTTGCAGTTAAGCATGAGAGTCATTTGATCTGTGTTTGAAGTGTATCTTAAGATGGTGTGTAATAAGGCAGCATCACAAAGACTGCATGTGTCTGGTGAAATCTAGTTACAAAGCTCAGGTTTAGAATACCAAAAAAAAGTATAGTGTTAAAAATGAAATTAAAATTATTACTTATTATTAATAATAATTATTTATTCTGAAACCTACCAGAAGTTATAATCAAAGGTAAACTCTGATTTGAAAAACTGAAGATTTTATTTAAGTCATGTGATTACCATATTAACACAACTTTAAAGTGCCACTAGTCATCACAACTTCAAGAGCCTTACATTTCTGCAGGCTTGCAGCAATAGAAAAAGTTAAAACCAATTTAGCTACAGTTTACTCCCAATATCCAACTTTACTTCCCAGAGCCAACACTTTGATGATCAGGATCTAATTAAAAAGCTAAAATTTGAATGTCTAACACTGTCCCCGATGAGCTTGCCATAAGAAATTAGATGGCTACTTGTAGACTTATAGCTTCGTTTCAAAGCTGAGATCCAAAACCTTTAACATCAACCCACAGTCTGCATTTGCTCTGTTACACAACTATTTTAAAACACTCTAGAAAAGGTTAAAAAGATATTACTGATATTCCTTTTTAAACCTTATTTTGGCAAGCTACTAAGGAACCATGACAGCTCGTAAGTGTGTCTGAAAACAACCAACCTTTCTGTAAGTAAAGCAAAAAAATGAGTTTGCCAAGTCCAGTATGATGGGAGCATTCAGGATCAGAAATAAATGCCACGTACCCAATGTTACACCAGTGATCTCCTCCCCATTTTGTATCTGGACTTACGTTTCAGTTATCAAAGCCTTCCAGGGACAGCCTGGAGAGCAGTACCACCTTTGACCTGTGGAAGAGGACCTATGCACCTCTGCCTTCCTGGCAAAGAAGTCCAAAACCAGTCCAGTCCAATACATAAAATCTTTGTTCTCTACACCTCTGGTTACTTTTCCAAAACAGACTACAAGCCATTAACTTCACAAATCAGAAGATCTTACTTTGGTTGAGATGTCACTTTCCCATGTATTCAAAGTGCCTCCAACAAAGAATGACAGAAGGATTTAGTCTGGAAGAGACTCCTAGGTCACTTGGGCTAACCCCTCCTCAACACAGGGCTAACTCAGAACTCTGGTCAGGTTGCTCAGGGCCTTGTTTCAGCAAGTTCTGAGCATCAACAGGGCTGCAGATGCCATGACCTCTCTTGGTAATTTGACTTACCACCTGATCGCTTTCTGTCATTATTTCCTCTCCCCCAACTAATTGGAATTTTCCTTGCTGTTACTTTTAACTATCGCCTCTTGCCCTTTCTCTGTGCACCCTGAAAAAGAGCCTGGCTCTATCTTCTCTATAACCACCCATTAGGCAGTTGAAAATAGCCTTTAAGAACCCTCTTCATGCTTCTCCCTTAACACTAAATAAACTCCATCCCCTTAACCCCACTAAGCACTTTGTTAGACCTACAATGGACTCTCCAGTCTGTCAATGTCTTGGTTTTCATATTGAGGATCCTAAAACAGGGGGTGTATTGAGGGTCCTAAAACTGGGCACAATACTTTGCATATTGTATCAAGCACCAAGTAAGAGGGGAATAATGGTATGCTCCACTTGTGGGCTACACTCTAATGCAGATCAATGTGTTTTGACCTTTACTGCACATTGAGTGTCAAGACCCATTCAGTTTGTTGACTACCAGGACACCAAGTCCTTTCCCGTAAAGCTGCTTTCTAGCCAGTCATATCCTCATCTGCTCTGCTGCATGGGATTAGTGGGTGTCAGGACCTTAGAAATACAGTTCATAGGTTTTGTTTTCATTTTTCAAATTGCTGAGGAAGAACCACAAGACAGTAAGGGATCAATCAAATTCTAAAGTTGACACTTTTTGTGGTAACTAATCTACTTGAAACTATCAAAACAAAACAAAAAAGAAAACATAGTCTTTGCAAAGAGACAATAGTCCAAAAAGAATGGCATCTTCTCAAGGGGGCAGAATGAGATGTATTATAGAAATGCACAATATCTGAGGATAGCAGGGTAAAGGTAGAACAGAATATAAAGACAGCTGAAGGTTCATTTCTAAACTACATTTTAGTTACACTAACAGCATAAAAATAATTTCCATTTTCTTACAATTTTATGAAATACCACAGCACAAATACAGGCTATTTACATGGAAAAGAACTGCTAAAAATATTGAAAACAGTAATTTCTAAGCAGTAAAAAGTTAAAGATGATTCTTACTCCAAATCCCAACACGGTGTCACCTGAACAAAGTTTAAACAAAGGGAATTTAAATAAAAATAATGCAACTGCGCAGTCTCTAAAATAGTTCACATTCTGTTCCTCATAGCTCGTTTCATATTATTAAGCGCGTAGAATTGAAAATAAACCTTCTTAAAAAAACATTATGTCTGTATGTTCTGTCTTAAACCTCTCCCACCTTCTCTGTGTCTCCCAAACCAACTTAGATCAGTTAAGGGCCTCCTGTTTTCTTACACAGCCATGTGGCAACAGCTTTGCTACAGATGGTGGATAATTTAGTCACATAAAAAAGTTGAGGCCTGCTCTTCCCCCTTCTTTACAGATAACTCTGGCAGCAGCACAGAGATTCTTCGAGGCCTGGAAGCTATTAAGGTTCATTTCAAGCACCCTTGAATGACCAGGCTTCTTTCTGGCCTTTAATCAAGCTGTCTGAGAAACAGATGTTGAGATTGGTCTCCAGTTCTCAGAAACCAACCCTGGAACATAGCACGTGCACATGGGAAGGACACCACCACATCAGCATACATGGAAAATCCCCCATCTTGCACTCAGTTTGACGCTTCAGCTAACGATCATGCAAAAATGAAATAATGTTGACTTCGGGTGCTCTCATTCCTCACAGCATAAAACCACTGGTAAAAACAATCTGCCCAATAGCTAACGTATATATTCTGCAAAAATGGAAACTTAACAAAAAACACCTTGAAAAACATGAGGACATTTACCCCAAAATATTTAGCAAATAATGAGCAAAATAAATTTAGACAAATCTGGCAAGCCAACAGACCTCTGCTCTATGGTGTCATAGCGAGCTCAACATTAAACACTTTGTTACTTGTGCACATAAGCTGCAACTGTTCTGTGGTTCTTTTTTTTTTTAAGTAATTAGAGAGTTGAAAGCCGAATAAAGTTATTTGTCATTATTCTCATCATCTGCCTGAAAATGCGAAAGTTCTTGACCTTGAAATAATAGTTTTAAAAAAGACAGGACAGGTTATTATCCAGCCAGTGCTAATGAGCAAACTAACTAAAATGCAGCTAATAACACCATTAATTTAAGGTCAAAAGTTGCACCACATTGCTCTTAGCACTTTATTGGCAACTGAGATTAATTTAGTACCTCTACAGATTTTTCTACAACTAATGATGTCAAAGAGAGCTGGACATCTGACTCGTACACGGGGCTTAAATCACACCTTTAGCCTGTAAAGCACTGTGACCAGTCTGGACGTATAGTGTCATCTTGACACTTCTATTTTACATTTAGAAATTTAATTATAGTTTCCAAGAGAGAAGGGGGAAGGGGAGGAAGCCCCACTCTCTAGCTCTTTGGAACATACTGCTGAAAACTAAATTTTAACGTTGAAGTACGCTATTTAACACAGACAGGGGTTTAAGCAGAGTTACAGCATGCTTAAGCCATTTCACTAACCTGTTGAACACACTTGGAGTTGGACTGTGATCTCGGTCCCTTTCCCTGTCTCTGGTACGTTCTCGGTCTCTGTCTCGGTCCCGGTCCCGATCTCGGGATCGCTCTCTCTCGCGTTCCCTATCCTTCTCTCTCCGTGCATAGTAATCCCACTGTTTGCTGGTGTCCATAAGGCTAGACCACGATGGAGCAGAACCTGCAAGGTGCGGAAAGGTGACTAAAGAAAAAGACGCAAGTATTAGAAAGAACAAAATTGGATACCGTACAAAAACTGTAATACTACTTTATGCAAGAAAACACAGATATTTGTCAGCCTCCTCCAATGACATTTTTCAATATTCCCCTTTCACACAAAAGTTAATTCTGAGCAAACTCTGCTTTTTTCCCAATATGCTAATAAAACCCTCTGGCACTCATTTAAATACTTGTTATAAACATGTACAGAACCAGAATATGCACCACAGAGACTGTCTAAATCCTTTTGAAAAGAAATATATATTGTGCAAAGATTTGCTGAAAGAATCTGATTTTGTGTGTTCAAATGGTTTTGCTTTGGGGGAAAAAAAAGCCAAAACAGAATCAAGCAGAAAACAGAACTGCCTTTGAAACTCAGTGGCTCTGAAAGTACAGTTCAGAAAAACAAGGAAAAAGGATGCTTCCAACTTTATATTTAGAAGCTACTATTTTTATGCTTCATCCTTTAAAATAATTGTATTTAAAATATAATGTTAGCTACAGAAAGTTCTCATTCACCAATTTATATTCTATACTGTGCTTTGCCATACTTTTCTGATTACAGATGTAACAGCAGCTTTTGCTGTTACAGCAGCTATAAATTCCATAAATTCATTCTGGGGAGAAGGAATTACGCTCCTGCTTCTGCTTTGTAAGATACCATTTCTAATGAATACTCAGCACAACCACTATTACTACTAAAATATAACAGCTTCAGAAAATTAAGCATATTATCTTAGTCTAAAAGATGATATGCTTAAGAAGTTAAGATTGAAGTCACAACATCGTGACCTTTTTAGGTAACCAGCAATGGGACGAGAGGAGGGATGCGCTTCTCCATTGCTTTCTGCCAACTCCAAAGTAGTAAATAACTACTCCTCTTAATCCTCCAATTGTTCTGTTCTGCCCTCCCTCTCCAGAAGCCTCGATAATGCATCCTGTTAACAAAAAATAAGGGCTGTAGTATTTAACTGGAAACAGCACTCTCTAGTGGACTTACAGTACAGAGGACTTCCCACTTTCTGCTTATCTGCTGTGCTAGCCAATGATAACATAGCCTTCAATAAAGTGCTTGTTTTGAGCTCCAGTTCATTATTTATAATATGAGAACAATATTCACTTGACTCCACAGTGTCACAAAGAGACATTAATAGTATAATGAACATAAATACCCACTGAACAATGTAAAGTGCGTCAATGACGCTGTATTTAATACTGTTGAGTTTTAAACCCAGTGTTTTCTCCTAACAGCTATGTTCAGACTGCCTTGTGTATGTCTGGGGTATGCCTGCCCCGGAAAGCTTTGGCAGAAGTCTAAGACAGCACTTTGCCAAGCATCCAAAGGGGGAATACAAAAGACCTTTTGAGCAGGCAGTGGAGCAGGAAAAAACACTTCATTGTTAAAACACATTTGCAATGAAAAGCATTAGAATTCTTTAAGAAAGCATTTATATGAGGTTTTGACTCTAACAAAATGCTTGAAACTGTTTCACTTTAGGGCTACAGACAAAATGAGGAGTTAACAGAAAAAAATACCCTAATACAATAGCATGTTGTTCATTATATTGCCAAAACCTGGAATTCTTCTAAGGAAAGCAGCCAGAAATAGCAGAAAAAGCAGCTGGACTTTAAAGACTGCTAATTTCCTTGACTTGCCACTATGTCAACAACATATGTATGGTCTATGAGACACTGGTTGCCAGAATATTCTAAAGTGTAAACTTAAGTTTAACTTTAAATGTATACTACAAAACAATTAATAATGATAGTATAAACTTCTATGATAAATTTTGGTTACTCCCTCACATCTGCAGTAATTCTCATCAGACAGAATTATGTCATTTCCACCCCAATAACTTGACATAAACCAGTCATTTGATACTCTGTGCATTTTTACATCTAGAATTTCACCAGTAATTATTCATAAACAGAAGAGGCTTACTTTCTAATATGAATTGGTGTTCTGCGCTTACTACTTAGAATGAAATAACTTGCCACTTCTACTGTTACTACATGGATTACTCTAATAATTTCTACAAAAAGAAAGACACTTCCAAAGTTTAACTCTGATTTTTAAAACAAGAACAGACGGAGCTTTGAATAATCAGTAGGTTTGGAGACTTAAGTCCTGTTCTGGAGATGGTTTAAAAATTTAATGCTGCATGCTCTCACAGTGTAAAGCACATTATTAATAAATCATCTTTGTGCCTCAAAAAAATACTAACTCTCAAACTGTTTCTGTAATGCTAAATTTTTTGCAAGTTCATGAGATATAAAGAACATTTAGAGCACAGAACAGAGAAATGCTTGAGGAAAAGCAAACAAGCACTCAATACAAGTCGCTTCACTGTCAGACCAAATGCAGTGTCATATACTGACAGCTCAGTAAGATTCAAAGATTTGATGGCAAAGGTAGCACTGAATTGTGAAAGGATTTAAGAGTAAATTAAAGAACTGCACTGATGCATTGAAAAAACACAAAGACAAAAGAGACGTTCTTCAAGCAACAAGTTTAGAACATTATTTTACTATGCAATTTTCCTTATGAGCATGCAGTGGGAAACATGCCTGACAACTCAGGAAAAGACATCAAGGCATGAGATCAGCAATATGAATATACAGAAGAAAGGCTAGAGCCTTAATCAAGATTTGTATTTTTTTTTTTGCAATGCATTCCATATGCTCATCTTCCCTCACAATTTTGACAAAGCCATGAAACGCTCAGACTAATACAGTTAAATAATACATTTATTAAAATGATCATCCGTACCCTACTGTGCTGCTGAGCCCTCAATTTACCCAAGATGCACAGAGAGCACTTGTAAAATACTGGCCAGCAATCATGTTGTGATACAGGGACTGCAAGAGTAAGATACTGGCCAGGAAAATATCTTTCACTAAGAAATGAACAACAGTGATAACATGCCACTGAGCCTCTATAGATCAAAAAATCTGTATGTCAGGCACAGCTTGCAGACTCAACAATTTGCTTTGTGCATCAAATGACAGCTTTTGCCACAATAGGGATGCCAGATACACCGGAAGCAGAATGGGATGGTGGAAGCAGACTGTCTCCATAATCGTAAAAAAGCAAACATGATTTTTAATAATTTTTAACTCTGCTGAAGAAGTTCAAATTCAAGGTTGGCATGATCATGATGACAATCATCTTTCCAATACTAATACTGCAACAATATAAGCAAGGCATTACCTCTGAAGATCAACATAAAAATCAGAAATATTCTTGTGTCCCTGATAATACTTGACAGAATAGCAAATTTTGACAAAAGATATTCCAAAGTGAAAAACATTCTAAACTGGAGACTACTTATTATATATACAATGTACATACTAATGACTGTAAGACTGCTTTCCTTATGATGCTCTGTACGGCTTTAAATGTTGAAGCTTCAGCAAAATAGTCACTTAGGTATCTTAGTTGTCTGCTTTATCTTTACCTCTTTGCTAAAACTTCAGCAAACAGTTCAATTATTGCTAAATAAAGTTAGCATAAAGCAGCTGTTTGCCCACATCAAGAATTCTTGAAAACATAACAAGCTTCCATGCATGAAAGCAAACACTTGGTAATTGATGAGAATACTTTCAATGTCAGCAAAGTACAACTTGTTACTCTATAAACCACTTCAAAAAATTAAAAACCATTCAAAATGTCATTTTGCATATCCTCTCTAAAGATTTATGAGCATTTGGGGGATACATTATCCGAACAATTGATCTGTGCTGAACATTATGAATCCCTACAACCAAACAGCACTTTCCCT